CCCCCCCCCCCTACGATATGAAAGTATCAGCAAACTACAGACGCAAATACACGTGCAGCTGTAAGTTACCTTTCTCTGGTCGACATCTTGCCAGTTGATACAAGAAAAGAAGCGATGATCTTTCACCTCTTGGGCATCATTGGGTCCACCTCCAAGCCTGCAATGCCCAATATAAATAATGAATAACCTTGCAATGGGAACTTGGTTATTCCATCTATAAACAGTAGATTCTGTTTCACTAGTCACACTGACCCAATGTAATAAATTGCAGAATGCATTACCCATCTCACCAAAACCCAGCCACTCCCAATTGACTTCTTGACAGTTACGGTAGCTTTGGCTGAGGTGGGTGGTGTGTGTGTGTGCCACCAACAGGTGGGCTTAAATTGGTGTACCGTGCAGGGTAATGTAAAAGTAAATTTATAACGATATGACAAGTTATAAAGTGAAATATACCCCAAAATCAAATTAAACTGAAATGCTTTACCTGGAAAAAATACTGTTCCTGGCTTTGTTCATATATCCAAAAAACTAGGCCTTGGTCACATGATCTCTAATGAACAGGAGGATCAAAATCTCAATTCTGACCCTCCTGCTCATCATCATAGATTGCAAGCCAAATGTCTAGGCTTTTAGGTGAGCATGACTAGAAGGAACATTTTCCCCCAGCAGAGGTAAGCATTTTATCTACAAGAACGTTATGTATCCATTGCCGTGAGACTGATAACATAAATGGCAATAATTGAATATCGATTAACGTTAAAATGCCATGATCTGTAGAAAACTTGATCTGTGTTTTCATTAATTTTAACGGTTATGGAATTGCTTGATAATGAACAATCGCCTTTTGAAACTACCACAAGTGTCACATCATCATCTGTACAAAAAATATTCAATGTACCAATAATGGTAAGGCCCGTCACTTTGGAGTTGAACTTTGATGCTTTATCTGTTATTCAATACTGATAAGTAAAGAGAACAATAATGAACTCCTCTTTGGAGAGTATGCTGTCATAAAATAAAAAGGTGCTTTAACAAAGTATTAGTTTAAGGGGGTGTATATTTATGCAGCCACGTTATTGCAAGTTTTACGTTTTTATTTTTTAGCCCCCTCTAAAGATTTCAGATTGTTTTCATTAAATTATACAGATCATAGGTCACAATAAAAAAGGTGGAAAAAAAATCTGAAGTGATTTATCTTGGTCTGATCTTTTTACATTTAAAAAACCCGCCATTTTTACAGGGGTGTGTAGACTTTTTATATCCAGTGTAGATGTGACATGAAAGTTTCTTTTGCTCCTGTTTTAACTATGTAGACATGTAACAGACACATTTTGTCAGATGTCACAACGCATATAAGCATCCTCACTGCCATATATGAATCTTTACCTTTGTTTTGGATCCTTTTTAAGTAGGCCACTTAACAGAGACTTGGCTTCAGGACTGAGTGTTCGTGGAAAGCGGATTTCTTCCATGAGAATAAGTTCAAACAGCCTCTCATGGTCCTGATTGTAGAAGGGTAACCGGCCACACATCATCTCATACATGACTACTCCCAGGCCCCACCAATCGACTGCCCGACCATAGTCATTGTCCTCCAGCACCTAAGACGTGAACGTAGTTTTATTTAAGGTCAAATCCAACCCAACAGGTAAATGCACAACTGAATAAGTATATATAGAAAATGTTTTGTCAAAAGCTGTAAAACAATGCACATATTTCCCTGCTGTGCACTAAGGATGTCCGCAACACTTTCAGACAATCAATGCCATCTCCTAGTTGGCCTGCTAAATACTGGGGACGCCCAAACCTCCTGTAAGTGCGCCCAAGAACCTTGGTGGTGGGAGTAGTGTAAGGTGCAGTGTTGATAGTGTGGGCTGGCCTGCATACACCATCCTATAGAGGTTGGTAATCAGGCAATGTGGAGAGGGTGGGGGTTATTGGTATGCAGGTGCGGGAACCATGCAGGAGGTTGGAGGGGGGGGGGGACGGACGGACTTGCCGCCATATATAAGAACAACAACCCATGTATAAACAGTTACCTCTGGGGCCAGATACTCTGGGGTTCCACAAAACGTTCTCATGGTAGCGCCGTCTGTGATGCCCTCTTTACAAAGTCCGAAATCCGTAATCTTTACATGCCCATCTTTATCCAGCATAAGGTTCTCCAACTTTAGGGAAGAAGAGAGGAAAAAAGCAGGTATGCCATCACACTAATGTTTGAAAACTGAAAAGATGATCGCTGCAAGCACAATGAACTCAGTATTCATGTCCTAGAATCTAAGGCTGTAGATGTATTCATTTGGTTTTATCCGGCTTTTCCCCAAATTTCCACTTAATGATCCTGCTAAAAAAAAAAACACATGTTGGGTCCTAGGGTGATAACGCTCACTCACTGTACTGTATTTATGGAGGAGCAGTGTTGTCAGCCTAGGATAGTTATTATGCAAGGAATACAGTACACAAGGCTCCAAAAGACCGTTAGATAGGATGGTTTGCACTCATGTAAAAATAAGTAGTCTCCCTTGAACTTTGTGGTAGAAACAGCTAACCAGCACTCATCTCCCACCCTGATCAGCTATATGAAGGGAATAAAAAAGCAGATCACAAGCAACTGGATTGCTCGGGCTTTTAAAGGAGAACTATGGGGTTCTATCTTTTTTTTTATTAATGCATTCCTTAGGCTAAATAAGTAAATAATGTAATTTACTCTAATTAGCCGAAATGCACAGTAAGGCTGTAAAACCTTATTTAAGGCGGTGGGCGGGGCTAAGCGCCGCAATGAGAAGACATCCCGATGTATCTGACGGGATCCTCCCCACTGATGACTGACAGTGATTCTTGAGAGCTGCTGCGCGTCCACGAATATATGGACATGCGCAGCAGCTCTCTCCTTACCTGCACGTCCCCGTGTGCCAGCTCCTTCCCCCCCCTCCTGACACTGACATACTAAAATGATCGTGGATCGCTGATGACAGAGGAAGGAGCTCTCTCTCTCTCTCTTCAGCATTTACTACAAATGGGAAAGCCCATATATGGTAAATGATGTCACTGGAGATCCCTGCTGATCGGATCCGATCGCTGATGAGAGGGGAAGGAGCTCTCTCTCTCTCTCTCTTCAGCATTTACTACAAATGGGAAAGTCCATATATGGTAAATTATGTCACTCGAGATCCCTGCTGATGGGATCCGATCAGCAGGGATCTCCAGTGACATAATTTATCATATATGGACTTTCCCATTTGTAGTAAATGCTGAAGAGAGAGAGAGAG